ATTGACGGGTGCTTCCAACAATGCAAACGTAAGGGGTCTAATCCTTCCTAGTGGTCCTATAAATCAAACAGCTCAGAGAATCGATAACAACACCCCAAGGGGCAAAGTCGATTTCGACGAGGTCGGAGGAACCGGTAGCGGATCTGGGAACAACAACGGAAGCGGTCCTTTCAAGACCGAGCTCATGAGATTGATGAGAGAAATGAACGAACGAATAGATCAGATGCGAAGGAGCTCCACGCTCGAATGGATCAGATTTCGAGCGCACCGCTGGTGCTAAAGGGGCCAGATTCAAAAAAGTATATCCAGTTTCCATTTAAGCCAAGTGTTGCACCAGAGTTAATTTCAAAAAGATTCAAAATGCCGAACATACCAAAATACGATGGGACTTCGGATCCACAAGAGCATATCACAATCTACACCATGACTGTGAAAGGAAATGATTTGGCTCAACATGAGATCGAGTCGGTCTTGTTGAAGAAGTTTGGCAAAACCCTCACAAAGGGGGCCTTGACATGGTACTCTCTTTTACCCCGAACATTCAATTGATTCTTTTTAAATGCTTGCAGACTCATTCATTAAGGCCCAGCCAAAGTAAGTCTTGGGCTAGAAAGGTAGACATATTCAGAATTGTGCAGGACGAATCTAAGTTGCTGCGAAAATTTGTGATCTAGTTCCAAAGAGAAAGGATATTACTACCGGCGGTTCCATATGAGTGGGCAGCGGAGGCATTCACAAAGGGTCTAAATCCAATGAGTTTTGATGCCTCCCGAAAACTGAATGAGAGTTTGCTCGAGTTTCAGGGAACCTCATGGGCAGATGTCCATAACCGTTATGAGTAAAAAATAAGGATAGAAGACAATCAGCTTGGGTCTTCGGTATCAGCCAAGGGACAGGGTCGAGACAAAAGTCACGACAAGTTTAAAAGTGATTTCGATGCGGATCGGCGGTCCTCTAGAGGTTATTTTTTATTGTATGAGAGGACCGATGGGCGTAGCAGTAAAGGGTTCCAGACATAGGATAGGATCGCTCCCGACAGAAGAGTCAATCATGGACGGAACAGTAGGTCGTTGCAAGAGAAAGAGGTGTCATGAGCCCGAGATTCCGCATATTCAAGGTTATCAGAGTACAACTTCAACATCAGCCTGGTAGAGTTGGTATTGGCAATGAGAAATATCAAAGAAGCACGGTTCCCGAAGCTTATCCGCTCAGATCCTAGCTAGAGGGATCCTAGTTTATGGTGTGAATACCATAGAACTCATAGCCACAGAACTGGGGACTGTTGGCATCTTTGTGAAGAGGTGTCGACATTGTTGAAGAATGCCTATCTCAGGGAGTTTTTAAGTGACCGAGCCAAGAACAACTACGTCCGAAGCCGGGACAATGCAGAGCCTTCGAAGGTAGCAGAAGGGTCACCTTGGATGACCATCAACATGATCTTCGGTGGAAAAAGTCAATGATGTAACCTTTTCAACAGCGACGACAACGAAGATATCAGTGACTCACAATAAGAGACTCCGGAAAGTCGTAGATGATGGCATCACCTTCACGGAGGAAGACGCTGACGGACTCATTTTGCTACATGATGACTATTTGGTAATCTCTCTCAATGTTTTAGATTTTTAAATTAAGCGTGTTTTGGTTGATCCATGAAGTTTAACCAACATCATCCAATGGAGAGTTCTGGAGCAAGCGAAACTAAACAGGGAACATTATTCTGGTGATAAAACTCTTAAATGGCTTCAACTTGACAAGCGTGAGAACCCGAGGAAAGATTTTGTTGCCCACACACGCCAAAGGAGTAACGAAGACCACTCTATTCGAAGTGGTGGAATATGATATGGGTTATAATATAATCCTTGAAAGGTTGTGGATACGCGAGATGAAGGTTGTGCCCTCAACATTTCACCAGTTGTTGAAATTTCCAACACCGGAAGGAATCAAGCAAATAAGAGGAGACCAACTGGGGGCGAAGGAGATGAACGCAGTTACCGTTTCTGGCAGTAAGGGAAAAGAATCTGATAAATAGCAATTACATGAACTGATGCATTCTGCCTTTCCGAATGAAGAAGATAAGGGCGGAGGGTCATCGGAATCCTGTCAGGTTTTGAGATATTTTCAGGTACCATAGGAGACAGATGCAACTAAGTCAACCACAGAGGAACTCGAGCAAGTGGCTTTGTTCGAGGAGTTTCTGGAAAGGAAGTTCCATTTGGGAACGGGATTAAATCCCAAGCTCAGGTTAAGATTTTTTAATTTTCTCAAAGATAACGTAGACTGCTTTGCATGGTCGTATTCGGATATGACATGTATCCCATTGAAGATGGCAGTCTACAAGATGAGTATGGATCCAAACTTCCCACCGGTAAGGCAAAAGAAACTCCCAATAGCCGAGGTCAGGAACAAGTTTGTTAAAGAAGAGGTAACCCAACTACTTAATATTAGTTCGATCTGGGTGGTAAAGTGTCCGGAATGGTTAGCTAACGTAGTCGTAGTACCCAAGAAGAATAATAAATTTAGGATGTGCGTAGACTATAAGGATTTAAATAAGGCGTACCCTAAAGACTCGTTCTCGTTTCCAAACATTGATCAAATGATTAATGCTACGGCCGGACATGAGCTAATGTGTGAAGCCCCGTAAGTTTATGCAAATGATTAGGGTTGATTTCAAACTTAAAGAATACAATTAAGATATAACGCGATACTAGCACGAGCGGAACAAGTTCATTGAAATACTCGGATATGAAGGTCATGAGGGTCGTAGGTCCCTAAGTTAACTGTCTAAGAAAATAACTTTGAAAAATTGAAATGAGAAGATTAGAAAAATTTCTGAAGCCCTGTGTGGCCCACGCGGGCTACATGGCCTATTTTAGAAGAAGGGAGGAAGATGAGAAGAAAGGGCTCAAGCTGCGTAGCTAGGTTACGTGGCCATACAGGCTGCGTGACCAGGATGCGTGGCCCGCACAGCCACCCACGTATACCCCAATGCTATATAATAGGGGAAGTTCGAGGAGAGAGAAAGAGATGATAACTTTGGCTAAGTTTTGGGTTCTAGAGAGAAGGTGGAGCATCCCCAACCCAAATACACTTCAAAGGTGAGTTTCATGATATTTTTATGATGGATTAACATTAATTAATGCTAGTATTAATATCTACATGGATTGAAATCTATAGGAATTGGTCCAAATCTTCAAGAGCACCAAGTGAACCCTAGTTAGGATTTGGACTTCAAGAGGTAATTTCTCTACTCTATACTTGCATACAATTATGGATTAAGTATGTCAATGAGATTTGTGGTTTAGGAAATGCTATTTGTTTGGAGTATTATATGAGTCTTGAAAATGAGTATTGTGAGTTAGGGTTCTTGAAAGAGGAAGATGGTGAATAATAAAATTGTGAACTTTGTTAAGTTGTTTGGTCGTTCTTTAGTTAAAAATACTAAAGTATTCCATGGATTGAAAAATACCTAAAATATATAGTTCTTCACTATTGTTGAGCTAAGCAAAGAAGATGATGAATAGTGTTGATTTGGTGAAATGAGTTAAATACTATTCTTGTGAGCAATTCACTATTGAATATTGTTGTTGACCTCAAAATGAGAGAATTAGAGTTAACAACTCAAGTATCAACGTCTATGATAAGAATATGAATTTTTACTAGATTTGTGAAGTGGGACCCAAGTGTTGGACACTTAGTTGATTTGGTTGGTATTGTCGTAATGCGTTATTGATGTATATGAGTTCATTATGTAGATATCAGCGTGTTTGGCAACGTTTGAGCATTTTAGTCAATTTGGAGCTTGGAATTGAGGTAATTTGATTAAACTTAGTTTTCTCGAGGAACTTTCTCTAATAGCATGATTTGGGTTAAGACATGAGTTAATTATATATGAGTGTGTCCGCACTTGTAGGGGCAAGTGGGTGCAGACAATACACGACCATACTTCGACCGTAGAACTCCCAGACAATACACCCTTATCGCCGAACCCATACCCATTCCTGCAGTTGGATACCAAGATTTTGTTTGAACTTCCCTTCTCAAAAAAAAAAGATTTTGTTTGAACTTTGAGATGCTTTCACTAAAGAGAAGTTTAAATCGAGAGATGCTTCTCCCTATGCTGTGAACCTAACCTTTCAAGCTAAGTGGGGGATTGTTGAAGTAGCTTGAAAAGTTAGATGGAGAAGAGAAGTTAAACCTCAAGTTTCAGTTACATATTTGAACTTTAATTGCAGTTATAATATTAATGTTGCAATACTATTGTTGATGGATAATGGTTCAATACGAATAGACGTGTCTGTTATTTGAAAAGGTGTGTTGTAACTGCAATTGCATTGCCTATAAATTATTTCATAAGTCGTTCATCACGGCAGATTTTTTCTAACTCCCCTTATTCCTATTTTCTCTAAAAGCTCTCTTGAAAGTCCGTAACTGAAGTTCTAAAGAGAGATTTTCAGAAATTGTTGTCTGCAAATCTCCAGGCTTTGTTGTATCCTGAGGGTATATTGTCATAAACCATCAGCAAACTAGTGGGACAATTAATATCTAAGAGATAGTGATTTTATCACGCCGTTCTAACAGGACCATCATATGTGACTTCTAACAAAAAAACAAGGAAAGATCTAAAAACTTTGTAGAGTATATAAACTCAACCCTACAATTCATCTTAAGGTATTTTAGCAGCCATATGCACGTCCAAAAGTCCATGAGAAGAGGATTAGTAAGGAGCCAACAATTATTACACAAGCACAAATATTGTCCGAGCTATTTGTTAATTGTATTTTTAACAACTTATGCTATATGAGTGTACAGAATTTGAGTTTTCAATTGCTTTACTAATTGCAAGCATTAAGCTTAAGCATATATTTCAATTGATTATGTCTACGTGATGTCGAAAACTTTAGGGATGTTTTCTGTTTTGCTTAGGTTGTGACTTGTGAGTAGTTTAGGAATGTTTTTGGCCAAAAACTCGAAAGCAACGTAGAAGAAAACCATAGGAAAGCTGATGTTAAATGAATTGTAATTGGAGATCTGTGAAGAATAAAGAATGCTCTAAGAAACAGATCAAAGATATACCCTAGAATTCTGCTGCAATAGACAAGACTAATCCCTCTTCTTCCAAACAAACGAAGACAGAAAAAGAGCAAGAAAATTTGATAGCATCACATTGCAACTTAAATATATATTTTAGCTCAAAAACACAATGAACCCCTCAGCTTTATATTACAGTTCTCGACCTGGACCGGGTTGTTGCTTGATTTCTCCAATGTAAGGTTCATATAGAACATAATCAGTATTTAAGTTGTCTTTTACTTCTGAGAATCACAGTATTCGGGGAACTCGCACTCGCATGGTCCTTTTCTTATCTGCATTAGGAAGGAAACATCTTCATTACGAGGGGACTTAGCTTAAGAATAACATAAATATGAAAATAAAGCTTAAGAATAACATAAATATGAAAATAAAAAAGTAACTCTACTGATAATTCATAGATTCTCACGATATTGTAAAGCTTGCAGGTGCTAGTTTTGCTCAGTATTTAACATGACAAATTCACCCGTATGATAGTTTCAAGTACCTGGGGTCTATAATCCAAGGTAACGAAGAGATTAATGATGATGTTACACATCGCATTGGTGCGGCATGGGTGAAATGGAGGCTCGTATCAGGTGTCTTATGTGATAAGAATGTGCCTCCTAAGTTCTACAGAGTAGTAGTTAGACCGACTATGTTACATGGGGCAGAGTGTTGGCCAATCAAGAATTCTCATGTCCAGAAAATGAAAGTAGCAGAAATGAGGATGTTGAAATGGATGTGCGGGCATACCAGGATTGATAAGATTAAGAATCAGGAAATTCGGGCCAAGGTAGGAGTGGCCCCTATGGAGGACAAAATGCGAGAAGCGAGACTTAGATGGTTTGGGCATGTGAAGAGACAAAACACAGATGTCCCGGTAAGGAAGTGTGAGAGGTTGTCCTTAGTGGGTTTTAGAAGAGGTAGAGGTAGGCCAAAAAAATATTGGGGAGAAATGATTAGGCAAGATATGGCTTTGCTTCAGCAGACCGAGGAGATGACCCTTAATAGGAAGTTGTGGAGGTCGAGGATTAAGGTTGTAGGTTAATAGGTAGTTGTGCGTCTTTCCGGACATTTCCAGTGTTATTAGTGGCAGTCTTGTATTCTAATACTGTAGATATCTATCATTACATGTTGTTCCTTTCGCCTTGTTTTCTTTATCTTATTCTAGGGGTGGCAAATGGGTGGTTGGGCTGAATTTGGGCGGGTCAAGATGGGCTGAGTCAATAAATGGGTCATTGCCCAACCCTGCCCAAAGTTTACTTGGGCTAAGATGGGTTGGGTCAAGATGGGCTAAACAATGGATCACAACCCAACCGGCCCAACTTGACCCATGTTTTTACAAATTAGTTTCATCTTCCATCTATTATAAAGAAAGTTGTTAACTTTTTATTCACCCATGTATGTTCCCTACTTTCCCAACTTGTTCTCATTATTGCTTGTTGCTACCGCTCTTTTCTCATTCTTCCTCGGCACGAGGGTCTACTGGAAATAGTCTCTCTACATTCACGGTAAAGGTAAGGTCTGCGTACTAGCTACCCTACCCAAACCCCACTTGTTGGGACTATACTGGGTTGTTGTTGTTGTTGTTGATAACACTATTTCATTAATCTTTACTCAACTTGTAGGTTTCATTGGATGAAAGGATTTTGATTCAGGGGTGGATCTTTACTACCCGAATTTTGAATCTTCACAAATTGAAAGTCCTTTTGGATGCATCAGGATTTTGGAGGACTACAAGTTTTAAAATCCAAAATTTCATATGATATGGAACATACAATTCATAAAATATGAAACATACTCCAATACCAACTAAACCAAACAAAATCACACAGCTGAATTTAGATATTACTCCTAGTCAAGTTTTTAAAAATTGTACAGAACGTTCAACAGCATTTTGGGAAAGATAAAACTGAACATCCACATTAAGGAGGTAAGTATGAACAATATACCATCCAAACAATTAACAGATAACATTAAGTTGCAGTTCCAAGGTCAAGGTTTTAGATTAGGACCAAATTCAATACACATACCTTGCGCAAGGTAAATGACACTCTCCTTGAAGCCCTTCTAATTCTTGTGTCATTCACTACATCAACCTGCAATATAGAAGTTTGGAAAAAAAATCAGTCGGAAAGAACACTGCCATCACAGTCACAGAACCAAAAAGAAAAGATAAAAGGAGCAGTACGAATCTAATCAATCAAGCACATATATTGAACATGCAAACTGAAGTTCAAAAAGGCACCCAAACAGAAAACAAACAATAAAGTATCATAGACTGAAGCAACGACACAATAAAATTGCCTTAGCACTTGAGGATCCAAGACGACCTGCCTTGTTTTACCTATAGATTGACACTGGCATCTCCAATAATAAGCACATCCCACCCTTTCCGCACATTATGTGATTAACATCAAAACTCTTGAAAATGGAACTAGTAGTGAATGACAGAGTCCCAGTAAAACTAGTATTCCCCAAATAATTCAAATATTATTTGATAACTAACAAAAACTTTAAACACTTAAAAGAATATGACTACTTGTACGGTTTGCAAATTTAAGATTCTTCTCAAACTTTTCAATTTTGTAGGGCTACTTGCTGAAACTTTCTGCTGAATCAATTTGATGTCAACAAGCTTCTGACAACTAGGTGAAGCATATGAGGCCAAGTTTCCGGTCATAATACTTACATGCGATAGAGTTAAGATATAAAATTTCTTGAAGTCCATGCTAACCATTCATCCAATTCAAGTTGCACGAAGCTTCAAACTCATTTTCATAATCTCCTGAAGACATGGCATACATAATAACATTTGAAGGAACTCACCTACTGTGAACCTTTCAAAACTGGATCTTTTTGCCATCATTTTACCAACTGAGTCATTTCTCATCCAAAATAGGTTTTTTTGGTTCTATAATCTGGATTTATCGAATTGGCAGTAACAAAGACATACTTCTTGGTTTAAAACTACATTTGCAGTACTCTAGGTGACAAAGTTGGAACTGTCACCAAGGAGAGGATTCTTTTTTTTAAGGTTTTAAATGCACATTACAGGAACCAAGGAGAGGATTCTTTTTTTTAAGGTTTAAATGCACATTACAGGAACCAAAAGATGGGATCAAGGGGGAAAGAAAGAAAGAAACAAAGAAAAAGTGCTGGCAGCAGGAGTTACCTTATGGTGTGGAATGTAATGGTGCCAAGCATAGCGTGCTTCCCCTGATAATAACAGAATAGATCGAGGAGGGAGATAAATAGCTCTCCTCAAGAACTTTGAGCTCTTGTCAGAATTTTGAGCCTCTTCATCACTTAATGTATCAGGGCTTGTAAGCCAAACACCAGTAGAATACTTTCTGAACTCCATGATGCAAGGCCCTGCCAATGAAAGGCTGAAAATTAAATCTTCAAATGCTGAATGGGTGTCAATATGCGGAGACAAACCCACGCCGGGTGGATATTCATTAACCTGTTAAAGATTTTGAAATATTTCTTGAAGTTAACCTTCAAAAGTTTCATGACTTCCAAACATTTGAAAACATAAGAAATTAGTGAAAAATTAAATTCTTTTGCCCAGCATAAAGCAAGACAATATGCCATGGAAGGACAGCTCATAAATGAAAAGATATCAGATGTGAAACTAACTCACCGTGAGCTGGTCTAAAAGTACAGTTTCAGCGTAACCAAGCTTTTGAAATAATGACATCTTTTCAAGTATTGGGGAAAGAAATAATGGAAGTTCACCCAAGTACTGGTTTGTGTTGACATTCCTTGTCTGCAGAGGTGAAATAGAAAGAGAAATTAAATAAATGCAGGTAGATCTTAAAACCCTATTAGCATTTGGAAGCTTAATAATCTAAAGAAATAGATAACAAACGTAAGAGAGATCAGCAGCCTTAGCAGAGAATGTCAAGAGTTCCTATAGTCATAAAGCCCAATATTATGCTCTAAATCCATCATGACAGCTTGCTTCATATAATAAAAATATAAACTGGCATATGCGGATGAGCTTTTTAAGCAATTGTGAATTGTCAAGGGATGAAAAAACGAGAAGGGGAACGATAATATTGACAGTTGTGATTATGTATTCAGACTTGTATTCATTCAGTAGTTGCCCGTGTACTTGTGTCACCTAGTTCTTGGGGGTTGTACTGTTTTGGTCGTCTTTAGACCATGTTATATTTCTATCAGATATACTGCTTTGAGATTATTCCTGCATTATTATGATATAACTCTGTTAATTAAAAGAAATTGGACTCTATTCTGTTGATTGTGAGTTGGCTTGCTTAGCAAGTACGGCTAGGCGCCATCACGGCCGGAGGTGGAACTTTGGGTGTCTAATTGATGAAGAGCTTCAGTGACGACTAAAAGCTTTCTAATGGTGTAACCAAACCAAAATTGTGGTTTATTTGATACTTGATGGGAGAGTCATAAATATTTCACGAAGACCTTTTGTAAGATTTACTAATTTGTTTTGACAACCGAGAAATCCACTGTTTCCAACTTCGAAACTTGATAGATAATAGACCCACCATTATCCTTCTCCACTTAAATGCCTGACTTTGTTCACTCGCTAGGGTTCAAACCCGTGACATGCGCCTACCACACATCCTCAGCTATATTTGCTGCTTTTGGAAATGCTAAGTCCCTCTTACCCAATATGCTACCCTTACCTCTTTTACTACCACGGGTTCTGGAAATCAGAGTACATACTTATCTAGTCCTTTGATATCTCAAAAGCAAATGACACAGGGCAAGGGAAAACAAGAGAGTTCAAACCAAACTTATTTTACTCTAGTCTTCACATATCATGTTGCATACATGGGGGATGTACCGTGCCAATGACGGGTTCAATTGAACCCATAGCTTTCGACGCGGAGTAAAAATTCGTTAAAAATTGTAATAAATAGTAGATATCAACCCATAACTTTAAAAATATAATGGGTTCAATGCTAAAACCTTAAAAGTTGAACCCATAGAATTTGAACCCTGGATCTGCCTCTGGTTGCATACACATATCATGTTGGAAAAGAATAAGAATCAAAAGCATGTTTTTGTATATGCTGGTATAACACAGTTGCATTTCAAAAACCAACCCTCTGCACTTACACTATATTGGAACTCATAACCATAATGCTGAACCCTTCTTTTAGCAAGTTTTTGCCAAGGCGTTGTATCAACTGCTGCTAGTAGTTCCTACAGATGTAAAGATGCTGAGTTAGATTTAGGTGAAACTTTTCACATAAGGTTTGAGAAAAGATGGAGAATATATAAGCACAGTCTAAATAAATCCTATATGCTTTTCCTGCAAAATGAGATATCTGACCTTCTCTTCTTCGGCACTGATAAAGTCATGAATCAAGTAAAGACCAGGAATATCTAACTCTGAAGCTGCCATAGACACCGGAATTGAGTCATCAACTGCAACCTTAACCAGAAAGCAAGCTTGTCAAGAACAGAAACATATGCAAACTATCAACAGAAGTTGCTCATGGGGGTAAAGACAAACAACTCGATAACCTCTATGCTGCACTGGTACAATTTCAACTTACACACTGACCTTAGTTTCCAAAAATGACATGGCCAGCACTGGCAAAAGAACAAAAAAACTAATTCATGAAAATGAGCGCTTACATTAAGCATGACCACTATTAGGCACAACTGCTCTACTTAAAAGTAGTGCATTGGTTACCATAGCATCTTTCAAACATCGGGTTTTCATCTTCCAATGATTACTAAGGTATGCAGATATGTTAACAGAAGGAAGAACGGTCACATAAGTAAGTCTTCATGTCATATGCATCCTTCAGAAGCTCTTTGCATTCAGTTTTCTCATAACACACTTTAAAGCTGATAGTCTAGAAGTGACTGTATATTCAAAATAATAATTAAACCGACATACTCAAAGGAGAAGCACTATAAACAATCTCATGACAATTACAAGTCCGTACAAAATTCAAGACATTGATGTGTATAAAGATACCTGGCAGACAGAGTGTACAGAATACTGAATGTGCAAAGACCGTCCACCGAGCTCAGGACATGCACGTCTATTCAACGTCTTCAGGGCAGACTCTGCAGACTTCTCTTCATGATAAGACACAATAACTCTAGTTCCACTTTCATCGGCGAGATAGACCCCCTTGACCGGACCATAGGCACCAAATACAGCTTCAATTGTGTCGAAAGTGAGTCCTACCGCAGGCCCACAATTGGCCACATAAAGATTTGAACTTGATTCGCTAGTCCCTCCAGGACGTTTAAATCTCGGTAAACCCATTTATTATGATCAATACCTACAACAAGAAAGAATGTACCTTTACTTCACCATATTTATCCATTTTCTTTGGTGATTGAGAGCAATTGAACATGAAACACCACAGTGGTCCTTCCCATGTATGCAATCATCCAAAATATTTAACAGCTCACATAAAAGCTTGTAAGTAGCTAAATAACAAACCTATCCTCCAATTTTCAAAATAATGAAAATTTGATCCTTGATAGTAACAGAAAATGTAGCATAACCTTGTTTTCAAGATTTACTTATTCCAACTCAACATAGAACTTTAGATAGCTCAGTAGTTTCATAGTAATACACAGATATACGGTGCTACTTGTCAAGCTTACTACTTTAATAATGAAAGAAAATAATCGACATTTGTAAGCTTGAAAACTTTGTGCTAAATACGGATACTACCATTCTTGCATCTATGGTTAACTTGATTATTCATTATATACAGTGAAATTCTAGCTCCCTCAAACTAATTACACCTTTTAATTCATGTTATTGTTTCACCAAAGAAAATAATTTCTATTCTTCAGGAATATCCCTAATCCGAATTACTAAAAAACAAGCATAAGAACAGGAATTTGCAACCTCGATATGCAAGCAATACAATTTTTAAATTTTGTCTGTTTATTTAGTTTTGTTTAAAAGACATTAGATGAAACCAAATCGTTTTCTGAAATAAACAGGAATAAAATTAAATTCGTCATGTTTAAAAATGAAAAAGAACAAAAGAGAAATCTTACTTGCAGAACTGCACCGCCCACCAAGGGTCTCTGTTGCAAAAAGACTGAAACGAAGAGTGCTTTCTCTTTACGTTGTTTCAGAGAAGTATATGTTCAGTTTTAGTGAGCCAAAATCTCGATGTAGTCCTCATAGTTAACACAAGTTACAAATGAACCCCTTGTTTTGTTTTATGATGTTAATTTGCCACTATATGTTTGGGAAAATATCAGCCAAATCCTCATAGTTAGTGGTTAAGTAGCAAAGTGTGGGGTGAATTGATTTTATGGTCCATTACAATCCTTTTTTTAAAATTATATGTCAAATCTCATAAAAAATTTATTTTTATGCATAAGATATTTTAAAATAAAATAGAAAAAGCTTTAAGAATTATTTATTTTATTCAAATTATAAATAATTATGTTGAATTATTTCATCATCCTTCTTCAAACAAGAAATCAAGGAAGGGAAGAAAAATAAGTGTCTGGACATAAAATTCTAAGACTCATTTTTTAATATTCACGCCTCTATTTTACATGTTTAGTATAAAATGATTTACCTATATACGTATTTGTTTAAGTTTAGTAATAGAAACACATCAGCAATTTCATGTATATACTTTTAGGATAAATTACAACAAGAATTACGTATCAATTCCAAAATAAGTTGAAATCATATGAAACCTCACTGCTTCACCATTACAATTTAGACATGCTTCATCAATATGATGAGTTGCTGCCAAAGCGTTAAGTACCTTTAGCAATCGTTATTTATAGCTTGTTTGGCTGAACTTTTAAAATCTACTTATTTTGAAAAGTGATTTATCCAAAAGTGCTTTTCAAAATAATATTTTTGGTAAAAACCAGCTTGTGTTTGGCTAATAAATTTGAAAAACACTTTTGAGCGGCCACTAATGTTTGGCCAATCTTTTAAAAAGTGCTTTAAGTATATTTTTCTCAAAAATATTTTTCAAAAAATTGCTTGTGGGAAAAAACTATTTTTTTCTACTTCTTAGAAACTACTTCTACTCAAAAGCATTTTTTTCCCTTCAAAAAGCTTGGCCAAACACTTCAATTCTTTTAAAAAAATAACACTTTTGGCCAAGAAAAAAGCTTGGCCAAACAGGCTATTAGTTGTATGGAAATAATCAGTATGGCTCAGACAGAAACTACTTGGTCCATCCTGGATTTGTCAAAAAATGGCACATCCTCCTCAATTGGAAGTATCCGGACCTCATAGTAGAAGGCCAAAGATTTGGAGTGTGACTTAGCCAAACTATCAAATGCAATAGCTAAACTGAGTCCCACGAAATTTAACCATCAAAATCAACTTTCTTGAAGTCAATGCCTTGCTTCAAACAAAATCGCGTTCGGCAAATTTAACTCTTGCGCAATCATCGTATTAGACTTCTGTGAACTGTTTCAGCCACTGTTGCTAATTCTTGTTTAACATATATCCCTTTATTTTGAACTATCACATCATTTCAATAAGGGAGGAATGTAGCAAAACTAGCACAATCAACATTCAAGAACATCAAAGTTAGTGTCGAAACCAAAATGAAAATAATATCAAGATTTAACACAATAAAATGAGATTGCTGGATCAAAACAAAACTAATGTCATATACTATCATAATTCGGAATGGCATGTCAAATGACCAAGAAAATCTGAAACTGTAGTTTACTTCAATCTCCAGAAGTCCAAAAAGAACAGATAAAATGCCTAAAAAGCAAAATTTCAGGCACTTTAGTTCATCCTCCTGATAAGTTCATTAATGTAGTTCTCACGGTTGCCGGCATCACCACCTTCAACATAGTGATTCCTCTTCTTCTTGAGTCCACCCAAAGGTGCCTTCAGCTGGAATGGCCACAGGAAGTTGTTGGCCTCCTTAAAGTGGGGTCCTACAGTCATGATCTCATGGACAAGGTCTTCTGCGCAGATAATTCCATGCTTGCCCAATGCCTGAAACATACAGGAGTATTCTAACATGTCAACACCACAAAAGCATCAAATTTAAAGATGAAACACTGTCGTATACTTACCTGATCAATGATAGAATTGTCTGTTAAAGCAATTCTCTGCTTGTCAAGTTTCCCATAGCCTCTCTTGTAGATCAATTCCCTTACACTTTTTAGGTTTGGATAACTGCAAGATACAAAGGAAATAAGGAACTGCAACAGTAGTGTAGAAAGGCTTCAGATTGCAGCAAAGCATTAAGTGATACCTACCCGTAGGTAACATAAGGTTCAACCCTATGCAGCATGTTCACCGTGGCTTTGTTAACTTTCAAAAAGACCCCGTTAAAGATCTGTTCATATGGGAAGAGAGAAGAGCTCACATTCAGAACAGAAAAGCAACAAGAAGAAAGATACAGCTCTAAAATAAGAATCATATAAAAATGAAAGGAATCTCTAGAGACCAAAACAAGATCTCCAGAAAACCTACAATTTTTTTTGGTTTTTTTCCTGAGGGAGGAGGGCGCGGCAAAATTGCAATAATAATAAAGAAAAATCTTGATAATACTGCAATTACTTGGCTGGTGATCGACCAGTTGGCATAACAAGCCAGCCCCAATAATAAGGATTTAGTACCTAACAGTCAAGCAGAGAGCAATAATCCTAACACATTCATAATGTATTTCAAGCATACAAAATGAACCAACACAAGGAAATCAAACAAGGCTTGTGCACCAAAAAACATCCAATTATACTTGTGAATGCTTTTAAACAGAATATGGTGAAGAAATGTAGCAGACATCCATGTGGTCTAGAATGCTCTGAGTAGTAAATTCAAAAGTTTAAACAATTCTTTAAGGTATACAGAAGGAGCTATTGGTTACCTGTCGCAGCCGTAGGAGCTGCAAGATTTTTTTGGTCTGTGGGGGCATAGCGTTAATCCTAAAAGAGAAAAATTGTATGAGTACCATAATATTACCTCTTCCATCATACGATAAAACAAAGAACACCAAAACAGTTCTTACCCACGAATCCTAATGATAAACAACAACTTTGCCTCAGGATCCACATAGAAACCGCCCTTCAATCTAGCCTCACGTTTCAAACGAATTAACTCCTTCTCCTAAAAAGATGAAATTAAACAATGATAACCAAGCTTTAAGTCAAACAAGCATAATAACCAGAAATTACAGAGTTCAATATACCTGCTGCTCATACTCCTTTGAGTACTGTTTTGCCCTGTTGTAGATTAGTTTCCGGTTGTCAGCATTCTTCTTCTTTGCAGCTTCAAGTTCTTGCTTCTTTGCAAGAGCCCATTCCTCACTCCTCTTTTGCTTCTTCAAGACTGACTCTGGGACTGGAGTTTCACCCATCGCTGCAACATACAAGGTTAACTAACATTAACTCTCAAGATAATGTAAAACCCATACTCATTTATCTTGTTATATTAAAACATTAGTCATTAGTTGGAAGATCATCAAAATGACGACATTCACACGCAAGACAGACAAAATATAAATCACATCACCAATCTATGTTAACTAATGTATCTTATCAGTTAAATGTAAACATAATCCATTATTCTCCTTGTACTCAAAACTTAAATCATTACTCTGATAGATCTTCAAATGAAGACATTTAGTTATTTAGCTCAACCAAAAAATGCACCAAAACTACCGATCAAATAGCTCATATGCTACTACGCCCTGGCAAATATAACCAAAGGAGCTTCTGAATACTACACATCAGTAAAATAACAGATTGTGGCAAGCCAATGATGAACCACCAGTAAGGGGCAAATGCTATTCACACCCACAGACATATCATGTAGGATTCTATGTATAATAATAAAAAATAACAAAAAATCAAATTGCGACCACCAGACTTGTTATATGTACTTTTCTCACCCCTTCATTTCACTTTTCCTTTTTCAATCAAAATATCCCAGCTTCATAAATCAGAAAACAGAAACATAAAGGTAACAATAATGACTAGTTCTTTCAACACACTTCCACTTTGTCTTATTTTTTTTCTGGCAGAAGTATCAGCATTTAAAACCCTAATGCTCTGCCCAAAACTCATACTAAGGTACTCTTTTAACTGCTAACATTTCAAACACATCAAATGGGCTTCAAGATACTTTAAACGCACACTCACACGCCTGCTTAACATGAATCTTATTTTAAATGTAAAATAAAACTCAGATCACTGACTAGCAAAAGTAACAGAGCACTGAAACTCAGATCTTCTAATATAACTAAAACCCAGCAAATTTCAGATTAAAAAAAGAAAGAAAAAAAGTAAAAGGCAAGACCAGAAAATGTGTATGAATCTAAAAAAATCCATTTAAACAGAAAACGAAGAGCTTAGCGCATAGGATTTAACGTGAAAGCAATGGAGTTTTACCTTGGAATTGTGGAGGTGAATGGAACGAGAGGTTGCTGGTCGGGGGCGAGAGGGAATGTGACGTTGTGCAAACCGCGGCAATATATGTTGATGTGTTATTAGGGTTTTTGTGAAGTTTACTGTTTTGCTTTTTCGGATCTGGGCGGGTCTGCTGATCTTGACCCAATTTCTAAGTGTTGTAGGCCCAATTTGGAATCAGGCTTTTGTTATGGGTTTTGTGATCCATCAAGACTATGGCCTAATATTTAGGGGTGATGTAGGGATTAGTAAGGCAGAATAGCCTAGTAGACTCTTGTACTTATACCGGTTTATCATCCCGATCTCTGTATTCTAAAAGTTTGTCATGTAAAAACTTGTACTTTGTATACGAGTAAAATCGAGCCCACTAAGCACCCCGGTTTCCAGGTGAGGCAAACGGAGCAGGGACGTGACCGTAAGGAATCGGAGTCAGAGCGAGGAGCCCCTCGTATCGAGGCTCGAGCAAAATACCTCCCCTCGGGGGTATCAGGACCACGTCCTCGAGGTCCGGTTCGAGCCCTAAGACTTCGGAGAGCATTACCAAACAATCGCACACGACTAACAAAGGGTTGTGATGTACGTGCCCAACCGGATATCGCAGTGTGAATCTCGGCCCGTATCGGTAGAAAATAAGCGATTAGCGAAACGAAAGATTTTTACCTTTCTTAGGATTGTACTTAGGGTAAAACTCCCCCACTATATAAACTGGAAGCTTATTATTCATTAGACACATTATAACACGCATATCAAGGCAATATACTCCTTCTCTTTATGTTTCTAAAAGTTATTCAAAGTTCTTGTTTTTGTTCATAAAGTTCTTCATAAGTGCAAGCTCGGAACCGAACGGAGGTTCCTCGTTAAGCCATTAACCGAACTCAGACTCACTCTTACCATTGGTTTGGCCATTTATTACATCTTTTATTTGCTTAATCTAACGACATTGAATCACTTGTATTGAATTAAACCACATATCCTTAAAATGCGTACAAATTCAAATGTTATCGATTTTTTTAGGGTAAACAGTTTAGTGCCCACTGTGGGGCTAAGGATAATAGTGATAATTTGATACAAATTTCCATAACGCACTATGTTTTATGCTTGTTCTTTGAGATTTTAATTTCAGGTCAAATTAAAAATGTCAAACTCTCAATCTGCTCACTTGAACGTTGATGCTGAGTCTGGCCACTATGGCAAGAACAATAATGTAGTGCCCAGCAACGAGGTGCCCCATGTTGACCCCAACAGAGTTCCGGTCGCGGACCCAATCGATGCCAACTCAATGTGGCCATCGATGCAAACTTGCCTACCGACCACAAGAACAGCGTTCGCGGAGGATCCCGATCGGTAGCTTGGGGTGCGCACGACGGCAAAGGCGATGGGATCAATTTACAGGTGATCTTCAAAATGTTACAAGCTCAACATATGGTGATAGCCTAGTTGCATAACCAAAGCCGCTCCCCCAACAGAGTTGAGATTGAACCATCCCGAAAAAACACCCGAAGAACTGAACCAACCACCGAAAGGCCGGGTGAAGTTGAACCCAGGACCAACCCCGAAATAATAAAGATGCTTGAGGAACTGACAAAGTGGGTGAAATCGGGGGAAAAGAAGATCGAAGCCAACAACAAAAAGGTGGAGACCTATAACTCAAGGGTTGATCAAATCCCAGAAGCACCCCCGATATTGAAAGGCCTGGATTCCAAGAAATTTGTCCAAAAGCCTTTCCCTCCGAGCGCAACACCGAAATCAATGCCGAAGAAGTTTCGTATGCCCGAAATTCCAAAGTATAACGGAACTACGGATCCAAATGAACGTGTGACCTCCTACACGTGAACCATCAAGGGAAATGACTTAGAAAATGACGAAATTGAGTCGATTTTGCTGAGAAAGTTCGGAGAAACCCTGTCGAAAGGAGCAATGATATGGTATCACAACTTACCCTCTAATTCCATTGATTTGTTTGCTATGCTTGCAAATGCCTTTGTAAAAGCTCACGTCGGAGCCATCAAGGTCGAGACCAGCAAATTGGACCTTTTCAAAATAAAACAAAGAGATAACGAAATGCTCAGGGAATTCTTGTCGATGTTTCAAATGGAATGAATGGACCTGCCTCCGGTTAGAGACGATTGGGAAGTTCAAACATTCACTCAATGGCTCAACCCCCAAAGCTCTTTGGCTTCACAGCAGCTGAAACATAATTTGATAGAGTACCTAGCGGTAACTTGGGTTGACATCCATAACAGGTACCAATCGAAAATCAGAGTCGAGGATGATCAGCTCGGTGCCCCCTCTAGGTCCGTGTATCCCATCATAACTAATGACATGTCTAAAAGAGTCATCGATTATGAACCGAGACTGAACATAGATCGGTATCAACCGTATAGCGGAGATCGAAGGGGTAGCGGATCCGGACGTAACCCTACGAGGAATGAAAAAAGAAGTGATGGAGATCATAATAGCCGGGGACTCATGAGTAAAAACTGTTTCGACAGGCCACTCGGGGCTAGGGAGGCACCGAGATTATCGGAATACAACTTAAGCGTCGATGTTGCATGCATCGTATCTGCCATCAAACGCATCAAAGATACCAAGTGGCCTCGGCCATTGCAGTCTGATCCTGTCCAAAGAGACCCCAACCTGACGTGTAAGTATCATGTCACTCACGGCCACAAGACCGAAGATTGTCGACAACTAAGAGAAGAAGTAGCCCGATTATTCAATAACGGGCACCTCCGGGAATTTCTGAGTGATCGAGCTAAAAATCACTTCAGGAATAGGAACTCCAACAAATAGACCGAGCAAGAGAAACCTCATCACGTCATCAACATTATCATAGGTGGAGTCGACGTCCCTCAGAGGCAAATGCTGAAGCGCACTAAGGTATCCATTACAAGGGAAAAGCAAACCCGAGATTACATGCCGGAGGGGACCATCTCTTCCAACGATGAGGACGTTGAAGGCATCGTGCAACCGCATAACGATGCACTGGTAATATATGTACTCATAAATAAATTTCGAGTTATGCGTGTGTTAATTATTCCAGGTAGCTCGACCAATATCATCAGATTGAGGGTCGTAGAGCACATGGGTCTACAAGACCAAATAGTGCCTGCAGTCCAGGTTTTAAACGGATTCAACATGGCATGTGAAATTACTAAAGGGGAGATAACTGTACTAGTGAACACTGCCGAAACCATTCAAGAAACGAAGTTCTATCGAAGGGGATATGATATATAATGCTCTATTCGGAAGGCCATGGATTCACAACATGAGGGAAATACCATCGACACTACATCATGCATTAAAGTTCCCCACACCGGGAGGGATCAAGACAGTTTACAGAAAGCAACCGGCCGTAAAAGAAATGTTTGCGGTCAATGAGGTGATCTTGATGTCCGCACTCTCGATATCGAAGGACCCGAAGTTGGTTAGGAAGGAAGAAACTAAATAGCAATCACCGATACCGGCCCAGACCAAACCGGAGAAACAAGAGGCAAGCATGGATGATGATTACGGAGTTCCTAGGTCATTCATCGCCCCTGACGATTCCGATGCCACCAAATCGACGGTCGATGAGTTGGAGCAAGTCATATTGATCGAACACTTGCCCGATCGGAAGGTATACCTGGGCACGGGGTTAACTCCCGAGCTTAGGAAAAAATTCATTAAATTCCTTATAATTAACGTGGATTGTTTTGCTTGGTCCCATCTAGATATGACAGGGATCCCGCTAGAAGTAACCACTAATAAGCTAAGCATGGATCCGAAGTTCCACCTGGTTAAACAGAAAAGGAGGCCTCAGTCCGAAGTCAAGCATGCATTCATCAAAGAGGAGGTATCCAAACTCCTTTGAATAGGTTCCATTCGGGAAGTTAAGTACCCAGATTGGTTGGCTAACGTAGCAATAGTGCCTAAGAAGGGAAATAAATTTAGAATGTGCATAGATTACAAAGATTTGAACAAGGTCTACCCCAAGGATTCTTTTTCTTTGCCTAACATAGATCGCATGATCGATTCAACGACCGGGCATGGGATACTCAGCTTCCTCGGCACCTATTGTTATAATGTAATGTCGTTCGGACTAAAAATCGTCGGTGCCACTTATCAACGCCCAGTAAATTGGATGTTTGAAGAACAAATAGAAAAATCAATGAAGGTTTACATTTACAACATATTAGTTAAGTCCGTGCGAACAGAGGACCATTTGAAACATTTGCAGGAAACCTTTAACATACTGAAGAAATACAACATAAAGTTGAACCCGGAGAAATGTGCATTTGGGGTCGGGTCCGGGAAGTTCCTTGGATTCATGGTGTCCAACCGAGAAGCTATAGAAGATATCACCGTAGTAGACAATGTCAAGGTCGTTCAGAGGCTAACCGGGCGCATAGCCGCCTTGGACCGGTTCATATCGAGGTCCTTCGATAAGAGCCATCGGTTTCTCTCATTATTGAAGAATAATAATAACTTTTCATGGACTTCGAAGTGCCAGCAAGCTTTGGAAGAACTCAAACGGTACCTTTCGAGTCCACCCTTGCTCCATACTCCGAAGGTAGACAAGCAGTTGTACATGTACTTTGCGGTATCCGAGATAGCGGTAAGTGGAGTCTTAGTCCGGGAAGAGGAAGGTACGCAATTTCCTATCTATTATGTTAGTAGGACTCTAGGCGAGGCCAAAACAAGGTACCCTAACCTAGAGAAATTGGCGATAGCTTTGCTAAGCAACTCCAGAAAGTTAATTTCAACACCATCCCATATGCACCGTAACTTCTTACCCACTAAGGAACATAACGCACAAACCCGAGCTCTCAGGCCGATTGGCCAAATGGGCCGTAGAAATTAGCAGGTACGATGTCGAATATCGACCCAGGACTGCCATCAAATCTCAAATTTTGGCTGACTTCGTGGCCGACTTCACGTCGGCCTTAACACCCGAAGTCGAAAAGGAATTGTTATTAACCTTGGGGACTTCCTCAGGAATCTGGAGCCTCTTTACGGACGGTGCCTTGAATGTAAAAGGGTGCGGACTTGACATCGTGTTGAAGCCGCCTACGGGTAACGTCATTAGGCAATCTATTAGAATTGT